AATTCCAACCAAGTTTGAAGTTTTCTATCAGCTGCCCAGTTTTCGGTGAGAATTTCCAGAAATTGACCAACTTGCCGGTAAACTTTCGACGAAAAACTCAGATTTCGATGAAATTTTTAGAATCCGACAGTCATTCAACTAGAGTTCTTCGATTTTCTAGAGAGAAAAGAGAGAAGAAAGAAGGAAAGAGAGAGAGGAGAAGAAGGGTTCTGCTGAAAAAAATAAAGAATCAACCTTATATACCTTTCCAAAATAACGTCGTTTCTCCATTAAGTAACCCAAAGGATCCGTGCGTTTTGTCGAGATCCGACCCGACCCGAGCGTCGATCGGCACGTGACTCGCCCCTCCAAGCCGTTAGCCGAGCCGACACCTCTGAGTCGCTGCTCCGAGCCATTTTTCTTCCTCAAGTCGAGCCGAACCGAGCCTTAAGCTGAGCCGCTCTAGGTTTTTTTTTTTCTTTTTATTATTTTTATTTTATTTTATTTATTTATTTATTATTATTATATTATGGTTGCTTAATATTTTTTTCTATTTTTTATTTATTTTCATTTTATTTATTTATTTATTTATTTATTTTTATTTTTATTTTATTCTTATTTATTTTATTTATTTCATTTTCTTTAAATAAAATTCAAAAAAAAAATAAAAAAAATATTTTTGAGGAAAAGTTGAAAGTATCAATTTTCTTTAAGAATAAATTTAAAAAAAAAAGATTTTTTTTTTTAGGAAAAGTTGAAAGTATCAATTTTCCTTAAGAATAAATTTTCAAAAAAGGTTTTTTTTTTTTAGGAAAAGTTGAAAGTATCAATTTTCCTCGAAATTAAAAATTTCAAAAAAATATTTTTAGGGAAAAGTTGAAAGTATCAATTTTCTTTGAAAACAAGCTTTCCATAAAAAAATATTTTTGAGGGAAAAGTTGAAAGTATTAATTTTCCTTAAAACTAAGTTTTCAAAAATGAATTTTTGAGAAAAAGTTGAAAGTATCAATTTTTCTCAAAATTAAAGTTTCAAAAGAATATTTTTGGAGAAAAGTTGAAAGTATCAATTTTCCCTGCACAAAAACAATCATTTTTTTCTTTTTAATTTTTTTTAATGTTAAATAATTCAACGATGGAGCCTCTGCAAGCGAAACAGTAGTTTTCTTGCATACTCCTGAGGTGAGGGAATTTTTTCAATTTTCTGCTAAAAGTATTAGAGTCAATTGAGAATAATTTTCAATAATTAATTACTTGGTAAAAATTTAAGGCTCATTGGATAACGTAAAATTAAGCTGGTACCATCTTTTGATGGGCATTATGAGGGTACTATAACCTTCTTTCACGGGTAACCGAACTCTCAAACCCTGTTCTGGTTAGTAGACCTAAACCTATTCTTTTAAGGACCCTTAAACTTAGGTGTTCCCTGAAAGGACATATTCCTTAGGTGGTCAATCACACATAGATAAAAAAGATTGGTGGCGACTCCTTCAAGTCAATATCTAGCGACAGATCCCCGAATCTAGACGTTATGACAGGTGTCATTACCAATAAATGTAAAATTTATTCTTTTATGCTGAGTTTATGTAGATAAATATTTTCTAAACCCACTCAATTTAATTTTTAGGTACCTCGTTAATCCAGTAATATTGAACGTGGATATTATGTCCTTTGTTTTATGCGTGAAATAGTTTTATATGATTTTATGACCACACCATTCAAGGTTAGTATAAATTTCATAAACTTGTTATATCTTCAAAAAAAATAAGAAGCTAAATTATGTTCTCATTTATTACATGTACTTCTGCTTTTTTTTTTTTAGTGAAAGAGTAAAGAAAGCTTCACGGTAAAAGAACTGGATGAAGCCTGTAAAGAATGGTGTGAGTATGTATTATCATTTATCAATGTTGATAAACCTTGAGGTTAGACATTGTTGGTTGAATGTAAATATATGAGGAACAAATTGTTATAATGTTTTCAACATGCCATGTCGAATGGAAAATTTAAGTTTGTAGATTAGGGTATTGGTTTAATATTATTGATATGCTTAATATGAATACACTATGTGTGCTTAATATATTATTGAGTATGATTATTTCATAAAAGTATATTAATATGGTAATGTTATCAATTTTAAATTCATATGCGTGGTTAATTTATTGAAATACAACAATATTCACTATGTAAATTCCAAAATGTAATTCGTAGTATCACATATATAAACCAAATGTTTTTTGGGTATAAATATACAACTGACTTCAAATGTTTTTCAGGCATAAACTTACAACTGACCTGACATATACAATATCAAAAATATTTTTTATGGGATTAATGAAGGTGTTTTTAATAAGAAAACACCTTGAATCATCTCTAATAAAATGTTATTGAAGGCGTTTTTTACCAAAATCGCCTTCAATAATCTCACCTAAAAATTTATTATGTGGAATATTAAAGGCATTTTGGGCAAAAAATGCCTTTAAGAATCTATTTCAACTTTTTTGTATAGATTATTGAAGGTGTTTTAAAAAAAACTACCTTCAATAATACTAACTAAAAATTAATTGAATAGATTATTGAAGTCACTTTCAGCCAAAATCGCCTTCAATAATCCTTTCCATATTTTTTGTATAGATTATTAAGGGTGTTTCTCTGCCAAAAACACATTTAATATTCTCTCCAAAATGTATTAAAGTAATTGGTGAAAGCATTTTTGCTCAAAAAACACCTAAAATAATCAATTACAAATAATCTCTGCAAAAACCCAAAAAAAGCTAAATGGAGGGATCAAATTTACCACCTTATGGTTAATATCTGTACGATCCTAAAATTTTGATATGATATTTATTGAAGATATTTTTTTACCAAAAACGTCTTCAATAAGCTTGTGGAATACTTTGGTGAAATTATTAAAGGCGTTTCTTGTAGAAAATGCCTTCGATAATAGTATCCATTTTTTTAGGAGGGGATTATTGAAGGCGTTTTCTGCCAAAAACGCCTTCAGTAATTCTTTATCATTTTTTAACGGAATTATTCAAACCATTTTTTGCCAAAAACGCCTTTAGTATTCACTCAAATTTTTAAGACACAATTATTTAAGACGTTTTAGTCAATAAACGCCGCTAATATCAAGTCTTGGGTGACGTTTATAAGTAATAACGCCGCTATTTGAATATTTAGTGGTATTTTGATAATAAACGCCCTAAGTTTTATAAAAACACGGAAGCTAGCGGCATTCGTAAGTGAAATGCCATTACAAAACTGACATTTTTAAAATTCAGATATTATGTTAAATATTTTATTATAATTTAGAGTTATAACATTATACTTATTAAAAACCTTACCTCTAATAGTTGAGATCCATCTATCCTTTATCAAATACTCCCATTCAAGTGGTTTGGGAGTTGCTGAGCTTAGCTAGATTCCTAGATTTTTTGTTTATTTTTTATTTTTAATTTTTTGGATCTGTCTTGCACTCTTCCAAGAAAACATATGTACACTAACAAAAGAAAGAACAAAAAGGAACCAAGAATAATGGCTTTTCGACACCAATAATTTTAATGTGTTAGATTTATTATTTTACCAATTTATCAACTTGTATATTCAACAACCTTCATCTTTAAACAGTTAAAAGAAACAGCAATGGATATCTCGACACTCTTAACTCTTGATTTATTCACGATGAAGATACCTATAAACATAGAAACTTGTTTAGACTCTCCAAGAGAGCAAATAATTTTAACCTCTTAGCTTTCTTCCAACTAAAAATTAATTTCCCTGGTCATATTCTCATATCTCATTCTCATTAATTAGCATTTTTTCAAATAAATTTAATTTATAACATTGTTTAAAAACTCAAATTTACTTTTTGTGTAAATTAAAATTCCTAAAATTTTAAAAGCTGTAAACATCTTAATTCTACTTTAAAAATGAATAAACGTTTTATAAACTGAACCAAGCACCGTCTATATAACCTCGAAAATGGACGAATAAGTTCGGCAAGTCCAAGTTGTTCGTATAAAGCTAACCCAATAAAATCCATGATTAGAAATCTATTTAGGGTTTAAGATATTGTGTTTAAGATTGTCGGCCTAGAAGATGAATCCAACTCAAAAGTTAAAAAAGGCCGAGGATTTTGGGTTGGTCTAGATTCAATGCAGGGCTATGGTTTTGACTACATTAAATCCGAGCCTGATTTGGGAAGCAATTATTGGCCCAACGTAATGGAAAAAACTTCAGCCCAGGTTTAAGAAGGCAAGGTAGCTTCAGATTCTGGACAGTGGCAGTTTCAGGTTCAAGAAGCCAGAAACAATTGAAGGAGCAGGTAGTTTTCATTCATAACTTGTACCTTTGGAACAAGAGGAGTGCAGCAGTTGACAAGTCTACTTTGAAGGCAATTACAGGTAAGACAATTGTAGGGAAAAGAAAAACAGCTACAGATTCCATCTTGGTTAAAATTTATTTACATCTCCGATTTGTGTGCAATATTTCATTTTTATCCACCATCTTTAAAATTCAATTTTTTTTTTAATTTTTGTCATCCATAATCCTTTAAAAATATTTCAAATTAATTCATTTCATCAACTACCATTTAAACTTTAATTGAATATGTTTAGTCAATACCACAAAGATTCATATGAAATAAATTTTAACTCAAAAAATAAAGGGTGAAACTTTTTGCCACATGAACATACTTGTGGTTCTTATGATACAAATTTTTATCAAATTTTAATGACAATTAACAAAATGGATAAATTTGAAATATTTTTAAAATACCATAAAAAAAATTAGTTTTCAAGGTTGAGGATGAAAAGGAAAGTGATCAATAATCATTGATATTTATGATGCAATTTTCTCTGGTGCTTATGATGATGTTACTGGTTACCGATGATGATGATGATAAAGTATTATTATTATGATAACTCTGAAACAAGGAAGGATTATAATAAATTTGTGTGAAAATATAATCTGACGATAATTAATATAAATGAACAACTAATTAATTAATAACGTTAGTTTATTAAAAATTAATTAAGAACAGAAGTTGGGTTGTAGACAGCGCATTCCACTTGACTAGACCCAATTATCTGCCTCTCTTCAATTACCGGAGGGGCTATTGTAAGATCGAGATTCAAGTCTGGCAAACTGCTAATCACTGTGTTGCTCTCCTCCGCCTCTGAACCACATGCAGAATTCAAGTGTTGATTGTTATTATAGCTGACGGAATCCACAGCGCCAGAGTTGGACTCGTTTGACATATTCGTTTTGGTTATTACACTAGAGAGTACCAATCGACGATTGTTTGGGTCAATTCCCATCTGCAATAGTTTCCTTTTTACGTGAGTATTCCAGTAATTCTTCACTTCGTTGTCTGTCCTTCCTGGTAATCTTCCTGCTATTAATGACCACCTAAACAATTAACAATATCATTATCAATACTGCTCTTTTTTTTTTTTTTTAAGAAAAAAATTAGGATAAGGGAAGACTTTTCCATTCTAGAGCTAGGACAGACAGCAAGTTTTAAAGAGGACTTAAATTAGACAGACAATCTACCAAAGAGATTATTAGTAGTGGGATTCAAACTCAAGTTTTACAAGCGTAGAATTCGTAACTTATTAACTCAACCAAACCATTATACTTTTTATCATTACTGTTTATATTATACAGACGAGAACTTTTAAAATTTTAATTGAATAACAAAATGTTCAGTATCTGTGCGTGTTCAGAATTAATTGAAAATTTAAAAGAAAACATGGTATGTATATATTTACCTATTTCCTAAGAGTGCATGGAGTTTGATGATGAGGTCCTCTTCATCTTCGGCAAAATTGCCTCGTTTAAGTTCTGGCCTTAGGTAGTTTACCCATCTCAATCGACAACTTTTACCACAACGTAGCAACCCTAGTGATCATTCAAAAATGCAAATATAAATTTGAGTAAAAGCCCTTTAAGAAAGCATATATAATTGAGAAAGATTAGCATGCATGAATTGATATTAATATACCTGCAGCCTGAGGAAGAGAGCGCCAGCAACCTTCACCATGTTTTTGAATGTAATCAATAAGCTTCTGGTCTTCCAGTTTAGACCATGCTCCTTTGTTAGTCTCTTTCTTCTCACAGCAAGGCTTTCTCATTGAAAAAAATAAAAATAAAATAGAAAAACACAACCCAAACAGATGATAATTAACTAAAAGGGAAAAGCAGAGGCTAATTGCAAAATCAGGTGATGGATAGCAAGGATAGGCAATCAGGCAAGCAAACGGAAGCGAGTGTAAATGAGGAAGAAAAAATATAGAGGGGTCGTCCCCATCTGCTAGGGCTTTGACTTACGGTTACCAGCCGCAGATTTGTCACGCTTTGGATACCGTTGGACGTGTGAATCCGCGGCGCCGAAATAATTTCATCTTTTTAATTTTTGTATTATATATATAAATTTTCATTTCAAATTATTTCATTCTACTTAAATTATATGAGGTTTAAAAAAGTTCTTTTATTTTAATATACTTGATATTGAAATTAGTGTTTCATGCTTTGTAATATAAAAAATATATAAAAATTATGAAAAATAATCGTACAATATAACAAATAAGAGTTTTTAGATGTAAAAAGAAAATGAATAATTTTGAGATATTTCAAAAAAAAAAATAAAAAGACGAAAATGGGAGTACTGATTTGTATATACACAAAGGTAAAGATAATTATTTCGTTTATTAATTATTCATCATGTAGTAAAAAAGAAAGTAAGTTTGGATGAAAAGGTAACAAAACTTTATAAACATTATCAAAAATAAAATTTAACTATTAGAAATAAAATAATCACCTTATTAGCAAGAAGCTTTTATTCTTATAAATTAGATATAATTATGTTTCTTACAAGTCATTTTTATTTTATAAAATTGAAAAAAGATAAAAATTAAATGAAAACTAAAAATGATATATCCTTTTAACTTGTATCAACTCTCTAGTTTAAGAATTTATGTTTAATCAGTAAATAAATATCAATACGCTTGGTGGGGCTTCACATATATATATATATATATGTATGTATCTTGCTAATGTTATAAAAGGTGTAAAAAGGGGCAAATTATAATAAGAACTTAGATTGAAAAGTTAAGTTTGCAATAATTTTATTTTGATTGATAACCTATACTTCCGGGTATCTTTCTTTAAAAAAAAAAGAAAAAGAAAAAGAAAAACCGTCCCTCAAGCCTGGTGCCAGCGGGTGTGGTAATTGGTAGGAAAAGGAGGGAGAAGTCACATGTTTTGAGGTTGACTGTTAGATTTTCATAGAAAATGCTTCCAACTGACAACGAGATTATCTACAAAATCACAGGTACGTATATTGAGAGTAAACACCAATTTCCACTGAAAAAATATTTTAATATTATGTATTTTGTATACTTAACTACTATAAAGCTTGATGTTTATAATTAAAAGATAAGTAAAATTTTTAATTTCCTTATTTTCTTTTGAGGCCTCCTAGATTTCATTTTGACCTTTTGTGGCAGAGACTTAACTTTCGGGAAGATCAAGCAGCAGCACGTGGGGAATGGGGATCGACCGAACCCTTTTCTTTCGCCCCAAATTTAATGACCTCTCAATCTTCGAGTTTCAAAGATTTTCGAAGCAAACATCTTAGGAAAACCAATTAATATTTTGACTGCCTGTATTTCTAAGCAGTGAGATTTGACTTGCAGGTAAAACCAAGTAATATTTTGCTACTGTTAGACACAAGGTTAAGGTGTTTACATCACCCATTTTGCTTGAGAGGGAGTGATACAGGATATTGATCCAAACTTGAAGATAAAATCAGTTTGTAAAACTAATATTTATAATATCAAAAGCTATGATAGATTTTCCATTCTCTCATATTTATCTTTCAAGTTTTATCATTTTCTTATTTCTATCTTTCTAATTTTATCTCTATTTATAAACGATCTTGTATATCTTTTGTACTCTATGTTGCCTCTAAATAAAATACAACTCTGACAAACAAAACATAAGTGAGAGTTTCTTTATCTTTATAAAACTTTAGCAGTAAGACACAATGATGCGCCATTTTCGAAAAAAAACTTCGTCTCTTATGAGTTCTTTCAAAACTAGATTTTGGAGTGAGATTGTCAAATAAGGTGAAAAAAAAAAAACTATTTGTTTTTTAGCCATCAAAAAAAATATATTATTTCATCAAATATGTACAGAGATGTTCTTTGGCTTAGTAAAGAGCTTTCCCACGGAACAAGGCTAGTCCTGGGAAATAATTTCGAACATTTTCCACAAGATTTGATTATTTTGCTTCAGACTATGCCTTGAATATAACAGTTCTTTAATATTGGTTTTGGGTTTAGTCCCTTCTGAAATGCCATATAAAAGCTTTTATCTGCGGAGTTTTCAATCGAATTTAAGAAAGGACAATTTTTTGGTTTTTTAGTTTGTGATGTGGCTTTAATGACACGGAGGTTGATGATGATGTGGCTTAATATGAATAAAATGGAATACAAATTGATGTGGAGTATCTTTTTTATATAACATTTTTTATGTAAAATTTATCCATGAATTGCAAAAGTTATATTTGTTAGATCCAAAACACCCCAATCCAATTAAGCCAACGAAAATATAATAAAACTATCAAGCAACTATACAAGTGATAAAACTTTAACATGGTTTAGCCTAATTAACTTACCCCCAAAGATAAAAAAAAATGATCCACTAATTGTAAAAATTTATAAACATAAAATCTAATTCAACTATTTAACAATTAATATTTATTGACACTTTCAATTCCCTTTAATTTATGGAGTATTCTGGACCCAAACAAACACAAACCTATGTGCATCCATGCACCATACTTATATGGATCCTTCCATTCTCCTCTAGCTCACTCAAACGTACACATCCATAAAGATGCCAATCTCCTGTAATCTTATGAAGTATCTACCTAATAACACCCTATAACTCTTTTACATCTTTTTCTTATATTTAATCCTATAGAGATTTCACTTATTTATAAGTATACAAACTTACATATCAAGAATCATTTTTCTCTTAGAATTTTTTTTTGCAAGTCTTATTGTCTATTAAGTAATATCTAAATAATTCCAAACAAATCTGTTATGATATTTGAGTCATTATTCCCAACAATCTCCATCTTAACTCAAATTTCATGCTAGACATACTTGACTTCAACTGTAATTGAAGTCTTGTAATCATTTTCTCTTATGTATCTTTAGGTTTCACGCAAATTGATTTTTAAAACATGAACTTAAACTCTTCTTTGAATCAAGCTTTTCAAAGCTTGCATCTTCTCATATCTTGAACTTTCAACTATAATATCATGTATTAGGCCAAAATTGCCCCAATCTAACTAGCCAATAAAAGCATAATCAAACTATCAAGCAACCACATAAGAGAAAAAAATTTAACGTAGTCAATCCAACCAGCTTACATCAATGGATAAAAAAAAAAGAACTACTAGTTATAAAGAATTACAAGCAAACAATCTCAATCAACCACTCAACAATTAATACTCATTAACCCTTTCAATCTCCTTTAGTTCTATGAAGTATTCTTAACTCAAACAAATATATACCCATGTGCACTCATGCATCATACATATGTGGATTTTTTCATTCTCCTTTAGTCTATTCAAACATATATACCAATGAAGACGATAATCTCCTATACTCCTATAGAGTGTTATCCAATAAAATCTTACAACTTTCTTATATTTTTTTCGCATACCTAACCTTATAAAAACTCTATCTAATTGTAAGTATCAAACTTGCCTATCAAGAATCCATTTTCTTTTAGAATTCTTTTTTTACAAATATTCTTGTACACCAAGCAATATCTATTCTATCTCAAATAAATCTATTATAAGATTTAATCATTATTTTCAACAATATTTATGAGTATTAGTGATTCTCAATTGAGTTTTACAAAGGTAATTGCCACATATGCTACATATTCAATGAAGTAATTCTAAATATTTATAGCTTAAATATTTGAGAATATAATTAATCATTTATCCTAATAGTTTTACATAAAAAAGGACAAATTAATTATTTAGTACTTTATTTTTTTATTCTTTCCACTACAAGAAAATGGGTATATAGTAGCAATTTTTTGGTGGCATTTTTCAACAAAAGCCACTAAGTTTTGTATTTTTAAAAAGTTAGCGGTGATTTTATCAAAAACACCCCTAAGTATACATGTAATGACATTTTTAACCTAAAGCGCCACTAACCAACAGCATTTAGTGGCGTTTGTTATCAAAATACTACTAATTAGTAAAAATTAATAGCGTTTGTAGTCTACAAACGTTGCTAATGGAATTATTAAAATTCATCATTTTTTAAAAAAAAACAAAACACATAATTTAACTCAAATTTAGTGACGTTTTTATAACAAATGTCACTATTTATCATCATTTAATGCCGTTTGTCACTAAAATTTCCCCATTTTCACCAATTTGGTCACGTATTTCTAACAAATTGCTTTCTTTTTCATTTCCCCATTTTCCCCTATTCTAGCCATATTGTTTTCCTTTTATTTTTCATTGATTTCCGTTTCCATTTTCCTTTCATTTTCCCCTCATTCTACCCAAATTGAAGCCTTTTCTTTTTATTTTGCTTTCTTTTTTTTTAAAAATGAAACCAATTTTGCCCATTTTGTTTCGAGCTTCAGTAACATCTACAGTGGATACTTTTTTGGCAGACCCTTAGCATCAGTGATCTTTGACTTACTGGCCTTAATTTTCAATGGAAATGCTATTTTTATTTCTTCATTAATGATTCTTATACTATGTTTTTTGTCATTCCTCAATAGCATTTTTAAAATAATTTTGTTTGAGGGAGGGGGTTTTTTTATGTTTTTGAGTGTATTGGTTGATCACTAGATATGTAAAAAAAAATGACCAATTTAGATGAGGATTGTTGCATTTTTGTTTGATGTTATGATGTGATGCTTATATTTGTGTTTCATTTGGATACCTAGTACTCCAGACCATCGATCTGCTTTTAGGGGTGTTAACTAGTTTTTTAGTTTATGTGTATGCAAGTGCTACTAGGGACATGCTGGATTTGATAATTTTATAGCTATCTCGTAAAAGGGAGACCTGGTGGGATCTGGGATTGTTTAGACCCAAGCTATTCTTTTATGCTAGTGAAATGAGAATAAACTAGCTAGTTTTTTGCTTTAATTAAGTAGTTTATTAAGTTGGAGTTGGAGGTTAGATGCTTGCAATTAGTTCAAGGTTACTATAAAGATAACAATATGTAACTATAAAGGCCTTGCTAGATATTTCT